TAAATGGGCTAGCTGACGACCCGGGGCCTCCCGCCGCCCTGATGGCTAGTACCAGTAATTGACATGCCTGCACTGTTCCAGGAGAGGACTCTTCGCCCATCGCATATCAGAGGTGCCCATTGGCTGCATTTTCCCAGGTGTGAATTATGCTTTGCACCCTTTGTGGGAAACTTGGCATTCAAAGCCATTTTTCCTAATTGGCCACTTGAGACCAGGAAGAAGCCTACATGACCCAAGGGATATAAAGAGGGGTTTAAGTAGCCCACCCCATTTGAGCTCCAATCATCTACACCTGCTGGCAGGTATTGATTGTCTCCCGAGGTCTGTGGGACGCCCAACCTCGCCCTACTTCTTCCCGAGGGATTGAGAGAAAGACGCTGGCCACGCCAAGTCTGGAACACAGGGGTGAGAATATATATCTGCTAGGTGTCTATTTTGCATGCATTTAATAAGAGCTCAGAGAACCAAAGGGGTTTCATGGTACCTGTAAGTGACTTATTAGTGTAATTTCTGTCCTGTCCTTTGTAGTGGCTGTGTTATCTGTAACACAGTAGTAGCATTTAACAGCTAAGTTTACCCTGTAACAATAAAATAGTAACTGTTTAAGCTGTGACCTGACTCCTTCAGTTGCTGTAACAGAACCAAGCACAATTTTAAAAAGAACTTCAGTCGGTCATAAGGGACAGATATAGGGAGAGCTTGAGCATTGGATCATGTCATACACACACTGCCCTGACCGTCGGCTGACAGAATTGGCGTAGTTGGCAGAGCTGTGGGACTTCCCTCCCCACACTGCAGGAAGCAAGTGCTTCCTTCATTTCCCAGGAAGTTGTAGCACCAGTGCGGGCTTCTTCTTGGGAGTGGGGAAAAACGAAGGGGGACTGGGGCCACCTCGCAATTGACTGGTTGTGCCCCTTCAGTCGACTAGTCAATCGTGATAAATAGGTTGGTGACCACAGCTGTAAAAAACATGTAAGTTTTTTGCTTTATAACTTTGAAAATGTTCGCTCAGAATTTGTGAATCCAGACACCCATCCAGAAAGACTATCAAAATCAGCTAGACCATCAAAGAACTTTGAAATCCAAAGAACTGGTAGTTAATGGTAGTGTCAGACCTTGAAAATGCTATGTGCACTGAAGCTTGTCCTGTGGACTTGGAATATAAATTAAGGAAATATAACTAAGTCACAGGAAAAAAATCCATCTTTTTGGCTTTTTGAACTTTGACAGTTAGACACACCAGACTGGACCCAGAAATCCCAAGTGACCACCTCCTAGGACTACTCTGAAAGACACTTTGAATTGACAGATCACTATAACTCGTAAGATTTGGATGATAATGCTTGGTTTAACCTGTAACTATCTCTCTTACCTCATTTTCCAAGTTAATAAACCTTTAGGTTATTTATTACAGGATTGGCTACAGATACTGCCATTGCCGTAAGATCATTCTAGGGTGCCAGTTTATCTGGCATAACTGACTGTTCTCTTGGGACTGGAGTAGCTGAATGTGTGCTGTGTGATTTTTGTTGTGACTATTTGTCACAAAGTCCAGTTTGTAGGGCCTCAGGCAAGATAGCATGCCAGCCAAGCCTCTTTCCCCCAGACATGCTGTGGGGGATGAAAGATGAGTTGGAGTAGTGGTGCTATCTAGCTCTGAACCACCTGAGAGTTCCATTTATAGATGGGATGTTCATACATGGTTGGTTAGGCTAGCATAACTTCTTAGCAAAGTCAGTAAAGCTTGTATAACCAGAGCAGTTAAAAGGAGCCATAGCATAGTAGAGAATATCACTTGTTTTGTTTTCTGTACTGAAAGAGCAAAATGTGTATTTTGTAAACATCATCTCTAGTGTTCCCTCTAATTTTTCCTCTCCCTGAGCGGAATGAATTTTCTGATGTGCATCATTGTGGGGGTGATGTGCAACACATCACCTTCGTATTGGTGCACATAAAATTAATGTGGTAGGAATGGGCCAAGGGGTTCTGATTGTGAGAGGGGGCTCAGGCATGGGGCAAAGGGTTGGGGTGCTGAAGTGTGAGGGCTCTGGCTGGGGGTACAGGCTTTAGGGTGGTGCTGGGGTTGGGCTCAGGGCTAGGACAGAGGGTTGGGGTGCAAGGGCTCTGGCTGGGGGTGTAGGCTCTGGGATAGGGTTGGGAATGGGGTTTGGGCTGCAGGTTTGAGGAGGGGTTTAGGGCTGGGGATTAGGATGCAAGAGAGCATGCTGGCTCTGGGTTGGGGATGAAGGCTTTGGGATGCAGGAGGTGCTCAGGGCTGGGAAGTACTAAAGGTGGGAAAGGGGGTTGGGACTCAGGCTTATCTTCCTGCTGGGGATAGCAAGAAGGGGCTCCATTTCCCCCGGCCATGGTAGTTGAGTGCTGGGACCAGCAGGGAGGAGCTCCTTTCCACCTGCTATGGCATCTCCATGCTGGGGCTGGCAAGAAGAGGGTCCTCCCCACTGGCTGCAGCAGCTTCAGTGTTTGGGGAGAGATATCTTTCCCCTCTGCAGGCTTGACCCCCTGCCCGGGACTAATGAGAAGCTCGTGACCACACAGCTAAGAGGAACTTAAATCACCTCCCCACATTCTCTAAGGTCATGTCAAAATCAGCACCCGGATGAAAAGCCATATAGTAGCCAGACTGATAGATTTTCAGTCTATCTGCCTGACAGTTATCATCTTTGACTAAGGAAAAGAGTAAAGAAAATAACAAATATCAAAATCTGTTAACCTAAGATTAAATAGGTGTCTGTCATTGCAAAAAAAACATTGGATGACAGATTGTAAACAGCTGGCACATTTAAAAAGTAATACCACTTTGAAAGATATTTCCATTTGCAGAGATATTTTTGCTACGTATTGTGGGGAATTTTATAAGAGATGATAGCCTTTTCCCAAACCGTTCAGATATTTAAGAGTGCCCATCTGAGGCACCCTTATTATTGCTTTTAAATATTAAATTGTAACATTAAATGATTTTTTCTTTTTCAGAATTTTTTCCTTCTGCATTTTTCTATAATCATTTTAAGAAAATATACTTAGATATTGTGTTGTAGCTATAAATAATATAAATGTTTGGTACATTTAAAGTAATCACCTTCTTCCACTAGATGGCACCAATAGACTGACTACAGTAATAGTCAAATTCTAATTCTGTCTTTGTTTTTTCATCTCTTGTTTCCATTCATCCTTCCCGCCCCCCTTTTTTTCAGTTTAAAAAAATTGGATGAATTAGTAAGATAAGGAGGTTGGAATCACTAGACATTTTTTCTCAGTACAACAGCTGCACATAATTAGCATGTTTAGCATGGCATACAGTATTAGCATATTTAGAATAATTTATTTTGTTAAGGCTCTATTGCTCTGATAGTTTAGAATAGTACATTTCTATTGTTCCTATGCTAATTCTTGATTTCTGGCTATACTTTTTTGGTCGGGTATTTGTTTTAAGTATATTGACTCACTTTGTGTGGATGATCTGGCACAAGTGAATTTTAAGAAATAATTTCAGTCAAGAGAAGGTGGTGGCTTCATGGGGAGGTTTTGAGAAGATGCTCCATGAATGGAGGCCAGCATGGAAGAAAGGCTAACAGACATTGGCTGAAGGGAGGTGTAACAGGCGAGGCCAGCCTCTCTCCCTGTTGTTTCGGGTTCTCCGGTCAGCCCCTTGGTGATAGCACCCCGAGGTGGGGTAGGGGGGGTCCGGGCCCACCCTCTCTCCCGGACCCCAACCCAGGGCCCTAAGGACAGGTGAGCAGAGACCTGTCTCGCTGGTGGGGCGCTTGCTCGAAGCACACCAGCTCGCCGGGTTCACCCGTCCTGGGCTTCTTCCTACCCCCTATCCACTACCCCCGTGGCCTCCACGGGTCTGTGCTACCTCCACCCCCCCATTCTGTGCTGTACCAAGCTCTCTCCACCCTCCTCTGCTCGTTCCTGCTCTCTCTACCTCTCGCTTTCCCTCTCGCTCCCCGCTCCCCTCTGCTCCCTCCCCCTCTCTGGCTCCACGGGGCTTTTCAAAAAGACCGCGCCGGCGTCTGGCCCTGATGACGTCAGGCGCCGCGCCCATTGGCCCCTCCCCCTCTGCGCGTCCATGCTCTTCCGCCAGCCACACCCCTGCCGCGTCACTCGTCAGCTGGGCCGCGGCGGCGGAGCAGGCACCGCAGTTCGTCCCCGCTCTCCGGGTGGTTCCCAGGAGAGTCAGGGCGACCGCGGGTTCGGTGCGGGGCGGGCCGGTGTCAGTGGGGAGGAGGCGGCTCGCCCCATCACAGGAGGATTGGGGAAAATCTGGAAAAAGACATTGTCTAAGGTACACACTGGAGTTGTGTGGATGTAGTGCCATAATGCAAAGTCAAGAGCAGAGCCATAGAATGGTTTGGGAGGCCGCTCCATGCTTCGGGGGGCTCTGTGGTGGCCACCTCAACCCTCTTATTGATGGGGCCCAGGGATAACCTGAGGAAGGAGCAGCAGGGGTCATCCCTCCACACTCCCCCATGGTGGCGGGAACCAAAGCCACATGGCAGCTTGCTCTGCTCTGCCTTCTCCTAGCCCACTGTGCTTAGCTTCACCGTGGCAGCAGGAAATGCCCCAAACCCAGGATACTCTGCATCCTACTACCACAGTGAAGGGAAGGGCAGCGGAGTGAAGCAGGTTGCCATGTCGTTCTAGCTCCCGTTGCCATGGTGAATGCAGGAAGTTTTTTCCCCCCACTAATTGAATATAAACATGTCAGCAAACACAGCTTAATAGAAGATTGCTTGCCAGATTCTGCCTATGGTTGTGAAAAATAATTTTTGTTCAAATGAGAAGACAAATGAATAAATACCCCAGTCTTGTGACCACTTCTGATTGTAGGGCACACACTCCTAGTAGACAAGATATATGTAATAGTCTGAGGAGATAAGATTTTGTGGGAATTTCTTCTAAAAACATTGGCAGCACATGACTTTAAGAACACATCTCAGGGTTCCGATGATGACACGATCTATGATATCACAAAAATCATCATAGTTTATGAAGTCAAAGGGAGGCTGACTTACTTTTGTAAGAGGACTCAGAACAATGGGAGAAGAAACAAAGATGTTTACCATGAGGCTTCACATTAACTTCTTAACCAAATCCTTTTCTAGAGTGAGTCATTTTCCTTCTTGTCCTTTTTTTTCCCTCCACTGAGGCCAAATTGTATACTTCAGACTCCAGCATTCTCCTGGGAGGGGCAGTATGGATCCTAGGAAAGTTCATAGTGAGATGCAGTACTTACCAAAACTGAATCAGGACTTTATACATTCTGAAGAGCGCCGTTTCCTTTGGGAGTCAGCGGAAAGCATAGAAAATTCCATGTCTCCCACTTCAAGCCATACAACTGCAGGGAAGATGGTCACTGCAGCAGATAAGCTCCTGAAAGAGACTGGGAACAAGGAGACTGATTTGGAAATTGATGCAGAGGAGGTGAAGGAAGCAGACCAATATGATCACCAAAAGATGGGAAACCAAAACTTACAGGTAACAGTTGAGAGGACAAAGCAGGCTATTGAAAAGAATAGGGAGGCCTTTGATGTCCTGTCTAAAGGGGAATTTCAGAAAGCAGTTAACTTGTTCTCAGATGCCATCAAACTGAATCCATATCTTGCACACTCATACACTAATAGAGCCAATGTCTTTGTGCAACTACAGGAACCAAATGCAGCCATTAGTGACTGTAACAGAGCCATAGAACTCAACCCTAACTTAGCCCAGCCTTACAAGTTGCGAGGAAAAGCACTCAAGCTTCTAGGGCTGTTAGAAGAAGCAGCCTGTGACCTGGCCTTGGCTTGCAAACTGAGTTGTAATGAAGATGCCAGGGATATAGTAAAGGAAGTTCAGGTGAGAAACCCAAAGAACTCTGAACACAAAACTAAAAATGAGAAAAATTACAAGTACAGAATGACACTGGAGAGAGTAAAAAAAGCTCTGGCAAAAGGAAGCACTAATAAGACATTCCTGAGGGATCAGGAAAAAGCTCAGAAGGAGGAGTCCAGTGAAGAAAGTGAGCTGGAGATTGATAATGAAGGGGTGATTGAACCCGACAGGGATGAGCCCCAGGAGATGGGAGATGAAAATCTAAAGGTAACAGGCGAAATGACGAATCAGGCCACAGAAAAGAAGAGGGAGGCCTTTGATGCAATGCGTAAAGGAGAACTTCATAGAGCTGTTGATTTATTCACAGATGCCATCAAACTAAACCCCCGCCATACAATCTTATATGCTAATCGAGCTAGTGTCTATGTGCAGTTGCAGAAGCCAAATGCTGCCATTAGAGACTGTGACAGAGCCATAAAAATCAACCCTGACTCCGCACAGCCCTACAAATGGCGAGGGAGAGCATTCCGACTTCTGGGTTACTGGCAGGAGGCTGCCAAGGACCTCTCCTTGGCCTGTCAGCTGGATTATGATGAAGAGACCAATGCCATTCTGAAAGAGGTACAACCAAGAGCACAGAAAATCATCCAACACTGGAGGAAGTATGAGCAAAAGTGCAAGGAAGATGAACTTAAGGAGCTAGCAAAAAGGAGGAAGAAAGTCTTGGAGGAGCAGGAAAGAGCTCAGAAAGACCTGGAAGAACTAGAGATAGATGAGAAAGCAGCCATGGAAAAACAGGAGAAAGTTCAGGAGAAGGTAATGAAAGAACCGGAGACAGCTGAGCAGATATTGCTAGGACAGGAGGAAACTCAACAGGAACCAGTGAAGGAACAAGACTCAATTCAGCAGATGGATCTGGAGAAACAGTTGATAGCTTTGCAGCTAGAGCTGGAAGAACAGTTGCAAAGTCAGCAGATACAGCTGGAGGAAGAGGAGAGAGCTCTGCAGAAGTTGCTGAAGGAACAGGAGAGGACACATAAGAAGGTGCTGGAAGAACAGGTGAGAACCCAGATGAAGGCTCTGGAGGAACTGGAGAGAGCTCAACAACTGGCTTTGAAGGAACTGGGAAAAGCTCAGAAGAAGATCTTAGAGGATCAGGAGAAAGCTCAGAAGGCAATTCTAGAAGAACAGGAGAAAGCTCAGAAGCAATCCCAGGAGGAAAAGGAGAGGGCTGAGAAGGCCCTGGAGAAATTGACAAGAGCTCAGAAAATGGCCCTGGAGGAACTGGCAATTGCTCAGAAAAAAGGCCTGGAAGAACATGAAAGAGCACAGCAAAAGGCTTTGGTGGAGCAAAGGAAAGCTCAGATGGCTATGGAAGAACTGGAGAAAGCTCACAGGAAGCAAGAAAAAGCACAAAAAGATGCCCTAGAGGAGCAGAGGAGAGCTCAGAAGACCTTAGAGGTACTAGAAAGAGATCAGAGAAAAGCCATGGAGGAGCAGAAGAGAGCTCAAAAGAAAGCCATAGAGGAACAGGAAAAGGCCCAGAAAGCCCTGGAAGAATTGGCAAGAGTTCAGCAGCAGACCCTAGAGGAAAAAGAGAGAGCTCAAAAGAAGGCCATAGAGGAACAGGAAAAAGTCCAGAAAGCCCTGAAAGAATTGGCAAGAGTTCAGAAAGAGGCCCTAGAAGAACAAGAGGGTGCTCAGAAGAAAGCTGTAGAGGAACAGAAGAGGGCTAAAAGGTCTCTGGAGGAATTGGAGAGAGCTCAAAAAGAGGCCCTGGAGGAACTTGAGAGAGCTCAAAAAGAGGCCCTGGAGGAACAAGAAAGAGCTCAGAAGAAATCTCTGGAGGAACAGGAGAAGACTAAAAAAGGCCTGGAAGAATTGGAGAAAGCTCAGAAAAAGGCTTTGGAGGAACTGGAGAGAGCTCAGAAAGAGGCTCTGGAGGAACAAGAGAAAATTCAGAAAAAAGCCCTAGAGGAACAGATGAAGGCTCAGAAAACTATGCAAGAACTGGTGAGAACTCAGAAAGAGGCTCTAGATGAACAAGAGAGAGTTCAGAAGCAGGCTATACAGGAACAGGACAGAGCTAAAAAGTCTATGGAGGAACTGGAGAAAGCTCAGAAAAAGGCCTTGGAGGAGCTGCAGAAAGTTCAGAAAGAGGCCCTGGCGGAACAAGAGAAAGTTCAGAAGAAGGCCCTGGAGGAACAGAAGATGGCTCAGAAAGCTCTGGAAAAACTAGAGAAAGCTCAGAAAAAGTCCCTAGAGGAGCTGGAGAGAGTTCGGAAAGGAGTCCTGGATGAGCAAGAAAAAGCTCAGAAGACAACCCTGGAGGAACATGAGAGAACTCAGAAAAAGGTTCCAGAGGAACAGGAGGAAACTCAGAAAGAGGCCCCAGGAGAACATGAAAGAGTTCATAAAAATTTTTGTGAAGACCTGGAAAGAGTTCAGAAAAAGGACTTACAGGAATGGGAGACAGCTCATAAAAAGGTCTGTGTAGAACAGGAGCAAGATCAGGAGAAAGACATAGAAGAACAGGATAGAGCCATGGAGGAACAACTAGAAACTCAAAAAGAGCCAGAGAATGCAACAAAAAGTTCATTAAGACCTCTTGCAAAATCCATTTGGGACTATTTTGAATCAGGCTAGACTCAGAAGTCTGACCCATTGCCTGAATTTTTTCTGGAATCCAGCAAACATTAATACATACAGGAATCAGTGCATGCTACTGCATTGTGTAAGTTTAGAGGTCATGTACAACCACTGTTTCATTAACATTAAAACACAAATGGAAAAAGTCTGTTCATATTCTTTTTTATTTCTCTATTTAAACAGTTTTTAAAGGATTACCGCACTTCTCACACAGTGTTTGACACATGCACAAGTATACATGGACTATGTGGAATTCTGCTGCCCAATTGAACATGATTGCCTTGTAACTCAATGGCATTTCCTTCATCAATCTAAATATCACAACACTAGTAGATAAGCTACAAATGGACCTCACACTTCTACCTCTCTGCCAATGTCTGTCTAATCTCTCTGATACTTTCTCAGAGATCAGTCGATTGCAGGAGCAAGAACAGGGCTGGCATTTGGAATCTTCCGATGCTATTTATTGTTCCTATAAAAGGGGATGTGGGAAAGAAGTTATGGAACATCCTGCCGACAGAAAAATCTGTGGAGGGATTTGAGTGGCAACTGAAAGCTTATCGTAACCTGCTGGATGAGGAGCCTCCAGATAAATGGGTGATGGGGGGAGTTTTTACTGAAGATGGAGGCCAGGTTATTGATGGGGAGCTATGAAGGGAAGAGTGAATTTATGGGTGAGAGTGTGATTGAAGAGTGCATTGTTTGTGATATATGGTGGGAGCCACTTGGTCTGCATGAGAGAGAGAGAGAGAGAGAGAGAGTGTGTGTGTGTGTGTGTGTGTTTTTTTCCAGTGTGCTGTTCCTGTGCTGTTTCAGCTCTTTATAGACAGTTGGCACAGCGGATCTTGAGCAAACTGCCCCATGACCAGTGTTCTCTCTAAGGGTACGTCTAGACTACATGCCTCTGGCGACAGAGGCATGTAGATTAGGCTACCCGACAGAGTAAAATGAAGCGGCGATTTAAATAATCGCCGCTTCATTTAAATTTACGTGGCTGCCGCGTTCAGCCGACAAACAGCTGATCAGCTGTTTGTCGGCTCAACGCGGCAGCCACGTAAATTTAAATGAAGCGGCGATTATTTAAATCGCCGCTTCATTTTACTCTGTCGGGTAGCCTAATCTACATGCCTCTGTCGCCAGAGGCATGTAGTCTAGACGTACCCTTAGGTGCGTGCCTATGTGGCTGCGCACAAAAAATTCTAAGCCTGCCCATGTCCTTCACACAGCCACACAGTGCACTCACCTTCTTGCTGGATTTGGAAGGTGAGTGGCATAGCTGTTCCCATGGGAGAGGTCGCATGGCGGTCGAGGATTGAGCCGTTACTCTGGCGTCTGTGGCTGTGTTGGGGGCCGGCTCTTCCGCCTGCTGCTGGGGTTTGGGGCTGTGGGCGGGCAGGTGGCTGCCGCTGGGGTTTGGGGCTGTGGGCGGGCAGGTGGCTGCCGCTGGGGTTTGGGGCTGTGGGCGGGCAGGTGGCTGCCGCTGGGGTTTGGGGCTGTGGGCGGGCAGGTGGCTGCCGCTGGGGTTTGGGGCTGTGGGCGGGCAGGTGGCTGCCGCTGGAGTTTGGGGCTGCGGGCGGGTGGCTGCTGCTGAGGGTCTGGGGCTGCAGGTGGATGGCCGCTTCCGAGGTTTAGGGATGTGAGTGCCTGGCTGGCTGCTGCTGGAGTCTGGGGCTGCGGGCAGATGGGCGGGTTGCTGCCACCGGGGGGTTGAGGCAGCAGGAAGGTTGCTGCCTGAGGCTTGAGGCAGCGACTACATGGCAGACAGGCGGCTGCTCCGGAGCAGGGCTATGCTCAAACACTGGGGTGGGGATGGGGGTTAGAAAAGACAGAATCAGATACAGTGAAAGCAAAATCAGCATTTCTTCAGTCTTGAGGGGGACTGATTCTGCTCTCACACAGCTGTAAATCAGCAATAGTGATAAAACAGGTATGTGACTAAATATTCACACGTCTTTTAAAAAAAGAACAGATGCATGCAAAATAACTTTTTGACAGCTGTTTTACTACAGCTCTAATTTTGGACTTTACTGCACACGTCTTTTAAAAAAAGAACGGATGCATGCAAAATAACTTTTTGACAGCTGTTTTATTACAGCTCTAATTTTGGACTTTACTATTTATACATTTAAATTCTGATATATTAGACATGGAATCACTCTGTTCTTTTTTGGGTGCTGTCCCTGTGGGTGCTCCACCCAAAGTGTAGGGATGTCCTGGAGTCATGGAGCAGAACTTTTTGAGCAGTTGTCTGCAGGCTGTGCATGTGTGAAAAGAGCCTTGCTGCTACCACAGTATGAGCAGTGCCACAGTGTGCTTAGTCTTGGCCTCCTGTGACTTCTATGGAATTGTGGACAGTGCAGATTTAGAGCAGCCTTGAGGCTACTTATCTCATAGAGCTGGAAGGGACCTTGAAAGGTCATTGAGTCCAGTCCCTGCCTTCACAGCAGGACCAAGTATCATCCCTGACAGATTTGCCCCAGATCCCTAAATGCCCCCCAACGATTGAACTCACAAACCACTGAGCTATTCTCCCCCCCCCCATCTAACATATTTCACTTCATATTAAATAAACATTTAAAGTCATGGATCTTATTAATTATCCCTTGTTTTAATATTCTTTCTTTCATAACACTTTATATATATAAATAAATTGGGTGCCGCCATGGCATACATCCGAACAAGTGCACATGACCCAAATATTGGTGCACAAGACTTAACTAACTCTGCTCATGGATGGAAAATCTTAGAGGGAACACTGCCAATGACTATACGATCCAGTAAGGTATAAGGGCACTGGGTCAAGTTTTTTGTTGACAAAGCACAAGAATTGCATCTGACAAATTTCACAAAGATACTGTGAGAATGGACACAATTTAGTGATTTTTCTGCCCTCAGCTGGACCAAGACATACTCTGAGTGATCTCTTTATACACGTTACATACTGTCACTCTAACATAGTTAGAAGTCTGACCCATTGCCGCCCCCTTCCCAACGTGATCAGGTATTGTCCATCTCCTGGTACTTGTTGGTTATATTAAAACATGTTTATTCATTACAGTGTTATCCTGACATCTTTTAAGAGGGGTCATTGTGTTTCTATAATCCCTATGGAATGCTTTTGGACCATACTTGATATTGGGATGTTCTGGGACCACTCTTCTGGAATTTGTTTACACAAGTACTCTGTGCCTAGCTCTGAGAAATGTGTGTTTTTGCAATATTAGCTTTGTTGTTGCCAGATTCTGTAAACTTGTAAGCAGGCAATGCATAACATTTTCTTATCATTGATAAATTATACGTGGTTGAGTCCAGTGCAAATAAAGCAGAGGTTTATAATCTACAAGAGGGGAAAGGAGTCCATAGCAGAAAATGCTGTATTTTGCTAATCACTTGTGGATGATGCTCATTATGGCTAGAGGAACTAAAGAGAAGGTAGTCCCAAGCTATCTTGCTTTGAAGGAAAAGTAGAATTAGAGGCTGTCAGGCTGGACCAAAATTTCTGAAGCTTTCTGCTGCCTGAAGAAGTTGGATTCTGTTGGGGCTGAAGCATTATTATGGATCATCCATACCACACAAGCCCTGCAAGTGTTAAAGTACCAATTAATTCCCCATGCTGCACCTGGAGGAGGAGCCAAGGATCAGGGATTGATTAAATGAAGCTCAGCTCTATGGAACAGGAAGGGCCTATATAAAGTTGAGAGCAGCTGTGGGGAAGGGATCTGCAGTCACTGCCCAGGAAAAGGGAGATGTGTTTGTTATACCTGGTCCCCATCTATGGCCCCGAGTTGGTTCCTCCAGCACTTGTACCAGAAAGCTGTCCCCAACAATCTCCAGAAACTTCCTGGATTGTCTGTGCATTGCTGTATTGCTCTACCAGCAGATGTCTGTCTCTTGTGAGAACCAGGGCCTGTGATCGCAAAACTTCTGGGCTACGTCTAGACTGGCCACAAATTCCGGAAAAGGGATGCAAATCAGGTAAGTCAGCATAGGGAAATCCGAGGGGAATTTAAATATCCCCCGCGGATTTAAATAAACGTGTCCGCCGCTTTTTTTCCGGCTTGGGGAAAAGCCGGAAAAAAAGCGTCTAGACTGGCGCGATCCTCCGGAATAAAGCCCTTTTCCGGAGGATCTCTTATTCCTACTTTCAGTGAGTATAACTGTGGCACCTTAGAGACTAACAAAAACCCACTTCCTCGGATGAGCAGAGTCATAAGGGGACAGTTAAGGTCAGTAAATAGTAAATGTTCTGGAGCCAGGAATTGAAGATCAATATCGTATTGACACTCTTGTGTGTCAGACCTCTAGTACAAATCCTGCTTTATATAGTTCTTCCTTCAGTGTTATGGGGAGAAAACAACTGTCATATGACAGTATTCCCTTTTCATTGCTCATACTTGGCACAAAAAAGATCTCTGAAAAGCTCTGTTTTGATCAAGTCTTGATTTCTATTCACAGATCCCTGGTGTTACTTCAGTATTAGAACAAATCTTCCTTCACTGATCACATTCTCTTCCAGTGGGAATGTCTTTCTAAAAGATATGGCTTTGTTCAACAAGATGGTGTCAGATTAGGTACAGGAATGACTACATAACAGCCCCTGATTATAAAGATTGGATCACAGTTATCATAGAAACACAAATAATATTCCTGAGAGGAGAGAACACTGTAAAAGCAGGATTTCCTTAATGTTCAGGCATCGTGACTCTTGCTTGGCTAGTCAATTTTTATTTCCCTGAAGTGATCCCACCATAGCCTGCATGACCAAGGAGCAGGAGAACTCCATGGTCTGATGGAGAAGTAAAAACTGAGAAGGGAATCACCCCCAGCATAGTTAGGTTCAAACCTCTCTATTATTTTACAAGTGTTGGTAACATTGATCACAAAGATATTTGCCCTATTTTAGTAAGTACATATATAACCCAATGGCTCTGATCTCATCCTTTCCCTCCTCTCTCCTGCATCAAAGAGCTCTGACAGGCTGCTGTGGTCACTGTTATCAAGGGCCATGGTAACTCCTTTGTCAACAGCAGCAGCACTTCTCCATTTACATGGATTTCTTATAGTGAGTCAGCTGCCGTCTGAACTCAATTTAAGTGAGATTGGCAGATATCTGAGCAAGCCACTGTTAGTCTAAACAGCTATAACACTGTCACCATAATGGGTAGTAGAACT